ATGCTTTTATAGACCTCTATCCTGTCCCCCCTCCATCTCCTCTTTTCTAAACTGAAAAGTTCCAGTCTCTTTAGCCTCTCTTCATATGGGACCTCTTCCAAACCTCTGATCATTGTAGTTGCCCTCCCCTCTCCCACCCTCTCTCTTCCCCTCTCCCACCTCCTTTTCCCAGTCTCCCCGAGTTTTGTTCAATAAAGAGAGATTCTATTTTTGACCACACGTTTTCTTTATTTTGTACATCAGGAAGGGGGGCTAGGGAAGGGTAAGTGGAAGGAGGTGACGGAGGAATGGGGTACGAGCCCCCGATGGGGAGGACTGGGCTGGCTCTGCGTGCTTCTGGGGGTGGAAGCTCTCCTGCAGCCCCCCAATTGCTCCTTCTCCCCAGATGGCAGCCTGCGGCAAGTACAGCCAGGCTGATGGCCGAGTGCTGTGATGTGCCCAGTGTGGGCACTCAGAGCACTCCAAGCCAGGACTGCTTTGCAAGAGGGGCACCCCTGAGAACTGTCTGTCCGGGGTGGGGGTCGGGTCCCTTTAAGCACAGCCCTCGGCTAGCCTGAGGCAGCAGCTCCACGCTCTAAGTCCTCCTCTGATGCCCTGCCGGCACTGCTTCCGGCTATCCTTAACCCCGGTTCAGGGTCCACTTAATGTGGACATGCTAATTCGAATTAGCAAAACGCTTATTTGAACTAGTTTTTTAGTCTAAATCCGTTAGTTCGAATTAGCTTAGTTCGATTAACTAATTCGAACTAAGTTAGTTCGAATTAGCGCTGTAGTGTAGATGTACCCTTACACAAGTAACACCACTAAATTCAATAGTTATACTGTCATGAAAAACATATCAGAAAGATCAGAAACAGGCGCCTAGAGGAAAATGTAAAATTAAATTATATACAGTATAATGAATTGCACATTACAATGAAAAACTGAAAGTAGTGTGTTATTTATTGTGACAAGTGCAGACACAGTGTATGATGAGATCAGGTGGTGGGTCAAACCCATTTAATTGACTTCTGTGGAGCTATACTAGTCATAAATGTGGCCCATTCTGACTCTGTGCCATTACAGCAAGTCCCCTACAGATGCATGGTGACTGGGGCTGGTCATCATTAGTGCTGTTGGCAATAAAGGGAAACTCAATTTAATGTGTTCCAATGTGAATCAGGAAAATAAAGGACAGCACAAAATCAGGTCCAGATCATTTCCACAGTGAACATTTTATGAGAAATGAAGACTTACCAAAGCCGCGTCACCAGAGTTCAGTTTATTTCTTATTTCAGCTAAAATTTCATCAAGTTTAAAATTTGTATACATAGCTCATATGACCACTATTGCTTTCCAATATGAAAGTGTTTGTTCATGTACTTACTACAAGCCCATACATAGTCTGAGAATGATTTTCTATGGATGTTTCTTTTATTTAGAGAAAAAATAGTATGTCACTTGTAAGAGGCTGAGTTCTGGCTTGAGCCAGGTATTATATCTGAATGTCAGGTTGAGCATCTCTGTTCAGGGGAAATGTGCAACCCCCACTAACACGCTGGTTGTTCCTGTCAAGTAGCTAGAGCACATATAGGGGATTGTGAGGCTGATTCTGCTCAGAGGTAATAGATCTTGTCTGTAGCTCAAGCAGTAGAGATTTGTTATTTGAAATCTGGAGTTAATTTTCCCCCAGATGTAAGGGAGTAGAGCTCCAAACCTGCAAAAACTTCTGCATGTGCTTCATTTCACATGCCATCTATAGTCTCATTGACTTCAGTGCAGGATTGAGGCTAAGAGAATAGGCCACAAGGCTGTTTTTCACTCCAGGCATAGGCCATATTAAAACTCAGTTCTGCAGATGTGAATGGCAGAGCATACAATCACTGTACCAGTTAGTTCCTCACAGGAACCTCTACATTGGAAACCAAAGCATGTCTGAGAATTCTGGGTAGATCTTCAGTCATCACTCATCTTGCTTTTTGTTTTTAATTCACAGAAAGTGAGTGAGAAGGTTGGAGGTGCAGAAGGAACTAAGCTTGATGATGACTTCAAAGAAATGGAAAGGGTAAGTCTGAACATAAATATGTTTTTAGGTTGGGCTTTAAAAAAAAAGTGACTTAGCTGCATGAGTCTGAGGACAACTCATATTCCCAAATCATTATACTGCAGAATTACACTTATGGTCTGTTACACCTTTTTGTTTTCTATTCAGGAAATATAAATAACAAATATAACATACAAACATCAGTGATAACAGCCTCAATTTAGCTCTGAGTTAATCCACTATAGTGGATCCCTTGAAACAGAGAGTCTGCTCAGATGGATGGGTATTTTTACGACACAAAAATCCCACAATCCTCAGCTCAGTGAGGCCAATCAAGAGAGAAAGAGTTAGTTGAGGAAAGAATGCACCCAATTCACAAGTTCAGAGCATCCCCCAAGCAACCTTCACTAGCAGAACTCCTTTGGATCTAGGTCTGCCTTCCCTCATCAGAACCTCCAGGGATGCTGAAAATGACATCACCTGCTTTTCCATGGCTGTGAATCCCTCTTGGAAGAAAAGGGAGCACAATACTGCATGTGTATGTGACAAGGAGTTCACTCCACACAGGACTAACAGGAGTTTAAATGGCCAGGTAGCCAATTAACTCTACAGTCTGCCCCTAGAGGAGGAGCTGGAGATCAGGGAGCTAATTGAAAGCTGGCTCTGTTGGCCAGAAGTGTGTGTGTGTGTGTGTGTGCTATAATGTCATAACCATCATATGCCACAGTAACTAATGTGTTACTATTTATCTGGATTGCAACACATGGTCAACTGGTGAGATTCTGTACCCCAGAATCAGTCTTTTCAGCTTCATCATTCAAGATATTTATTTCCAGCCTTTTAGTAAACACTGGGAATGTTCTCTCCCCTAATGCATAATACCTGCCTACTTTATATCCTCTCTTACTCAGCTCATCAACAAAGTCACTTCTGGCCTCATTACCAGGAGGTTCAGCTACTCTAAGCCACCAGTTCCCAGCTATCTTCTGCTATTGGGTGGGAATGAGATATAGCAAATGATAAAGACATGATAAAATGGGAGGGAGAGTAGGCAGAAGAAGCTGTGACTAACTCAACTCAGGTGTTCTTTAAAAAAAATTTACTGTTTGGAAAAAAACACTTTGCTGTACTATAGGAGAAACTCAGTGTAGAGAAGTACAACAATGTACTTTTGAAAGTGCAGCATGTCCAATAAGTAATAGAGAGCCCCAGAGCTTCAGAGGCACACTAAGAGCAATATAATTCTCTTTTTGAGCCTGAACCTGAGAGGTATTGTGTGTCCTCTGGCAATGCTGAGAACCTGGAATGCCCAAAAGTCAGTGGATGTTGAAGAAGCTCAGAATCAAATCCATCTGGCCCTTACAGATCTGGGATCTCAAACCATTCTTTTCTTCTTGTTAAATTAATGAATTATAAAAAATTATTGCTTTAAATATATAAAATGCAGTTACACATTTTCCCAATATAACTTTAATGAAAAAACATATGGGGAATATAAAATTTAAATAATATATAAAATGCAGTTACACATTTTCCTAATATAACTTTAATGAAAAAACGTATGGGGAATATAAAATGTAAAAAATGCTCCCATCACATTAAAAACAAGTAAGCTTTTGAAAAGAAAATAGGTGTAAGGCCAGATAGAAAAAAAGGTGCATGAGAACTCATTGAGTTCAACAATATGAGCAATTGTAACAGAGAAGTTTAACTATGGACCTAATTCAAATCTATACTCTTGGAAACAACACCAGAGTTACAATATAAACAGAAAGGTGAAAGCACGCTGGGGCGAGGTATTTCTGAGATGTTTTTCAGCCTAACCTATCATTTGGTATTCTACAGATGTACTTATAAAGTCAAAATAAATTTACTAGTAATTTGTGAATTGGTGCTGTCATGTACAGAAAGTGAGATTACTCAGGATAACTTACAGTTCTTATCTAAAGAGATCCACAAAGAGCCATTCTTACTATCTGAGGCACACAAAAAACCAAGTGCATGGCAGACATCTTACAATATATTGCTCCTGCAGGAACATTACACAATAACAAACTTCTCCAGTCATTCAAGTGAGACCCTATCAGCTGATTCTAAAGAAAGGGAGCATGTTTTTCTGGACCTATATAATATGGTTTTAGTTCATCTCCACAGCCAGATTATCCAGCTATTGTAAAATGGGGAGGTCATCTGGCATCACTGGCAGAGAAAAGAGGCATTTGGCTGGGAAGCCTGTTCCAGGTATGATGTGATACGAGACCAGATGGGTCTGATAGCATCTCACCCATGAGGCCCTCTCAGGAGGCCAACTGCAGAATATTGTCAGATACAGAAGAAACTACTGATCCAGCAAGGAGGTTACAAATGTATGAATTCCCATGACCCATTCTCCCTTAAAGAAAAAAATCTATTTTCTTCTTGTATCACTGTTCCACTCTAATTGCTGCCTAAGGTTTGGAATCTCTTTGGGAGTTACAAATTTCTCCAACTCAAGAGATGGATTCTTGTGCAGTACAGCACTTCACCAGCTATGTTACTTTTTCCCCCAGCACCACTGCTGCATCTGTCACCCAGCCCCCACAATGACAACCCTCAGGGGAATAAACCTAACAAGAAAAATGAGTTTTCTTTAAAATCTAACATTTATCTGTCTTGTCTTCCTCTTGTTTATGTTCTTCTCATTATAATTTCAGAAAGTAGATGTCACCAGCAGGGCTGTGGTGGAAATAATGACCAAGACAGTAGAATATCTTCAGCCAAACCCAGGTATGGAACTTCTAAGTTGCAGAATACTTTAAAGTTGTTTACCTTTTCTTGGGTTGTTCTGGTTTACAGGGTGCCCTCTCAGTAGTCTGTCCCGCTGTAACTACCCAACAGTCCTTTTCTTTGAAACTAGTTCTTTTTCTATATTCTGGTGAGGTACGTGTCACTGTATTTAATGTATGTGTCTTTCTTACATACATGTGACAAGATTATATTCTCAGTTATGATGGTGTAAATTAAGATCAACACCAAGTTAATGGAGTTATGTCGGCAGGAATACAGTAACAGAGATCAGAATCAGGCCTTTTGTGATTCTTCATGGACTCAGTGGTGTTGATGGTTTCTGTAGAACCAAGACTAGCTGTGCCAAAAGTAGCATCAGATTAATCAGAATTACAGCCATCCATATAAAATTATTATTATAAAGGAAACTGGAGTATAGTTTTCTGTCTTTCATAGTAGCCAGCAACTAATCAAACTCTACATTATGAGTTCAAATGTGGGCAAAGAAGTGATGGGGGGTTCTCCTGAATTTTCAGTCTAGCTTGGTGAAGTCTACCTTGTGTGACCATTCAAAGGCCTCATGAAAATCACCTGTGTAACAGGTTATTTTCTAGAACCAGTGAAACAGAGTTGCAGTCAGTACATTTCAGAATGGTTTGGGTAATTGTTTAAGAAAGGGGGTTGCCCAATAAAGTTAATCTAATGCACCGATTTCACTGCAGATGCTTTTTCTGATTTGTATGTGTCTTTCTCACATACATGAGGCAGTGTCTAAACATGAGATTTTATCATCATTAAATTCACTGGCTCTCCACTTTCAGATTATGGACAATATAGAAAATAGAAGGCTGATGAATTTTTTACTCCCATTCCATCATGATCTGAAAAGTGAACTGAAGGTCATGCAGAAAGTTAAAAACTTGATTGATAATCATGCCTACTTTGTCCATTCAGTGGAATTCTGGGCACTGTGAGAGAGAAAAGGGAATGAGAGGAAGCTGCTTCTAGCAGGGACTTGAAGCCTGTGTAAGACTTGCCAGATGAGCTAACTAGAGACACCTGGCAAGGGGAGGGAACAACAAGCAGCCAGCTCCTTATAAGACAGTTGAAGCAGTTGCTTCAGGGAGCTGACTCTGGGAAGCGTGTGAGGATTTAAGCTTTGAGCAGGATAGCAGCAAGTGGAAATCAGGTAGAGCACTTCCTAAAAACTCATTTTTTAAAAAGATGAAGAAACCTTTTTAGATGAAGAAACCTCTTCACACCCCAGGCTCTGAGGTGAGAGATACGCCTTGGACTTTGATTTCTACTTTTGAGACATTGTCTAAATAAACCTAGCCCCCTATAAGGGTGGTGATGGGACAGGCATGTATGTCAGGTCTCTATAAAAGGGCCTGGAAGAGAGAGAATAAAGACAGAGCAGAGGTATCCCAGCCACAAGAGGGGTATGGAGGTAGCCAACTCATCCATACATACCTAATTCGCCCAGGCCTACATTTTTCTTAAAACGAAGTGAAAATAACAGTGTCAAAAAGCGTTCCATTGCCAAAAATAACTTCAATTTTTTTAAATAGAACTCACACATCCAGTTGTATTTCTAACTTCCACTGCTTCAAGAGCAGACACTTCTATTGAGCCAGCCTCCCACAGGGCTAGCCAAAGTATTTCCACTGGGCTGCATGACTCTTAAATCTTTTTCTATCACAGGCTTCTGTAAGATCATACACAGTTGCAGCAGTCTCTCCATAATAGCAGCGACTTACTATGGAAGAACTAAGAAATCAGTACATATAAAAATGTGGCTTTTTTTGTCAACATGAGTTACCTTGCCCTTTATGTGAGTTCAGTTTTGCCTGGAGAGCTGTTTTTTACCTTTCAGTGGGTTGGCTGAAAGGAAATGTAAATACTACACAGGAATAAAATCAGAAGAAAATCTTGAGAGAAAAGCTGGTCCATTGGTTAAGGTAGTAATCTGGTTTCTGGGGACACTCGGGTTCCAATCACTGCTTTGTCCCAGATTTCCTGTGCGATCCCAGGCAAGTCATTTAGCCTTTCTGGGTATGTCCACACAGAAATTAAATACCTGTGGCTGTCCCAGGTCAGCTGACTCTCAGAACTGGGACTGTAAAATTGCTGTGTAGACATCCAAGCATAGGCTGGAACCCAAGCTCTGGGACCCTGAGAATGGGGTGGGTCTCAGAACTCAGGCTCCAGCCCTGGCCTGAATGAATACATAGCAATGTTTTTAGTCCCACAAGTCTGAGCCTTGGTCTACACTAGGAAGTTATTTCAAAATACCTCCACTTATTTCAAAATACCAAGCGGAGCATCCACTCTACCAACCACATTATTTCAAATTAATGGGCTGGTTATTTTGAAATAACTCCTGCTTTCCATGAGGAATAATATTAATTTCAAAATAGTTATTCTCAAATAGCGTTAGTGTGGATGCTCTGGTGCCGCTATTTCAAAATAACTGCTGGCCAGAGTATTCAAACTAATTTCTCCCTAGAGCTTCCTGGAGCTCTAAGTCGAGGTAGCATATGCACATTAGTGGAGCCTGCCTCGGACTAATTTTGAAGCTTCCCCGTGGTGTGGGGACATGCTATTTTGAAATTATTATTTCGGGAGCTATTATTTTGAAATAAGTTATTTCAAAATAATTTCCTAGTGTAGTCATGCCCTGAGTGAGCTCTCCTAGACCATCCATGGCTACACCACAGGTTTGTTATGCTAGGGTAGATGTACCCTCTGTGTCTCTGATCCTAACCTGTACCTTAGCTAGATAGCACCTGCATATTCCTGAAAAAACAGTGCACCAAGACCTGTTCTGTCAAACTTATGTGACCCACATTTCCATCTTATCTGAGCACCTTCTCTTGGTTAATGTATTTATCTTCATAACATTTTCACCTCTTATCAGATGTTATCAACCTTGTTTTATAAGTGGAGAATTGAGACCTAGATAACCTAAGTGACGCACAGAAAGTCTGTGATGGAGTAGGGACTTAAACCCAGGTCCTCCAACTCCTACATGCCCTAACCATTGGACTATTCTTCCTCTCTCATTAACCAGCTAAAAATACCTGTGTCATGGAAGAACCTAGAGGCTGATTCTAATTTTGTATATTTCAGTCTTAACTCCATTGAAATCGCTGCCGAGTAACTATGAAGTCAGTGATGCTGCAGTAATGTAAAAACAGTTCTTCTGACATACAATTCAGTCCCTGCGTCTTGGTGCTTTCATTTGAATAAATATTCTTTGATGCTGAATGGGTTTATGTGTCTGCAGAAATGTGTAGATATCTGACATCTGTTAATGGCCATAATAGAAAATGCCATTAAACAGACAAATTTCTTATCAGTATATGGCCAATTTTCATTCTTCTTTACTGAGTGAGTTTTAAGGTGTCACACCTTGCTGTTTTGTTGGTCTAACCTCTGCAAACATGCAAATATAACCATCAACATTCATTTGAGTTTTAAGGTGTCACACCTTGCTGTTTTTTGGTCTGACCTCTGCAAACATGGAAATATAACCATCAACATTCATCAACAGAAAAGGAAGAAACATAAAGGGATCTAGGGGTCATATTGGACAACAAGTTAAACATGAGACAACAGTATGACATTCTTGCAAAAAAAAAAAAGCAAACATGATTCTGGGATGCATTAACTGGAGTGTTGTGAGCAAGACACAAGAAGTCATTCTTCTGCTCTATTCTGCACTGATTAGGCCTGTGTCCAGTTCTGAGCACCAAATGTCAAGAGAGATGTGAAAAAACTAGAGAAGGTCCAGAGAAGAGTGACACAAATGATGAAAGGTCTAGAGAACATGATCTATGTGGGAAGACTGAAAGAATTGGGCTTGTTTAGTTTAGTTTAGAAAAGAGAAGACTGAGAGGGGGACATGATAGTGGTTTTCAAGTATCTAAAAGGGTGTTACAAGGAGGAGGGAGAAAAATTGTTCTCATTGGCCTCTGAGGATAGGACAAGAAGCAATGGGCTTAAATTGCATCAAGGGAGGGTTAAGTTGGACATTAGGGAAAACTTTCTAACTGTCAAGGTGGTTAAACACTGGAATAAATTGACTTGGGAAGTTGTGGAATCTCCATCTCTGGAGATATTTAAGAGCAGGTTAGACAGATACCTGTCAGGGATGATCTAGACTGTGCTTGGTCCTGCTGTGAGGGCAGGGGCCTGGACTCGATGACCTCTCGAAGTCCCTTCCAGTTCTATGATTCTGTGAAAAGCTGATCTTACAAACATGATTCTACACAATAGTTCTAAAAATACTTGCTGAGGGTGTGTCTAACTACAGGTTGTTTTTTTTAAAGTGGCCTTTTTTCGAAAAAACTGTACCTGTGTCTAGACTGCCGCCAGATTCTGTCCACAGTAAATTGAAAGAATGCAGCGATTTTGTCGATGGCGGTAAACCTCATTCTATGAGGAATACTGCCTTTTTTCGAAAGTCATCTTTCAAAAAAAGGAGCTATTGCATGAAAAGAGGGCTCTTTTGAAAGAGAGCATCTAGACTCTTTCAAAAAAGCAAGCGGCTTTTTCGAAAAATCTTTTTGTTGTCTAGACACTTTTTCGAAAGAGGCTTGCAGGCTAAATGTAGCCTGAATGGGAGCCTAAATTGATTATATTCTGGATTCTGGCCAAGAGTCTCAGCAGTGCGAATGTTTTGGGTTGCCTCTTGTCTCATGAGAGTCAACCTGAGTTATCTAAAAGAGGCCAATTTGCAGAGTAGCACTCCTTGAAAAATTGGTCCCTTTAAAGATCTCTGAAGATGAACATTCAAAATCTGAAGAATTCAAAATCACTAGTCATTTCTGAAAATCTTAGCTATGTGTTTACAAATACACACATGGCCTCAGCACCTTACAGGATTCCCATCTCAGGTCTTGGTCTTGCACAATGTCTGCCAGCATGGAGCTCATTGTCAAATCAGGGCTACAGACACTCAGAAAATTTGATGGAAAGAGAGACAAGTGTCATGT